ACACACACACACACACACACACACACACACACACACACACACACACATATTATATATATGGTGGTGGTCATCTTGGATTTTGACTTGGTAACCCAATGCTTGATCGTGACCTTCTTACACCTAGATACAGCCACACACCAAAACGGAAGTGCTAATTTTTGGTTATCTTGCTCACAAAACAGATGGACCTATACGGTGACATCCATCTTGTATTTTGACGTGGCAACCAATTTTTCAAAAGGAACTTATGTTGGGCCTAGATGCACCCACACACCAAATAGAACACAATATTTCACTTATTTTTTAAGTTGTTACGCTCACAACATGCACGGATGGATGGTATTTCCAAATCTTCCTTTTCGCTCAGTGGCAGGGGATAAAAATGTTTTCAGCTAAACAGTTTGAATGGATTATTTCAGGCTGCATGTGATTACAAGCAACCAATGCACTCACCCCTTCTACTCTGTGATAAGGCCCAGCAGAGTTCTCCAAGTCCAGTGGGACCCCATTCAGAGCCCAGGTGAAAGTCAAGTCCATAGTGGGGTCATGGGAGGCATGACACTGCAGCGTGACGTTCTCCCCTTGGTTGATGTCAGCATTGGAGGGAGCCAGTGTGATCTTAGTGGCATCTGAACAATAAAACATTTGGTATGAAAATTAGTTGATGAATGGTTTCATATTTCATGTTACTAAAATAAAAAACAGCAGTCTGATGTTGTGGACCAGGTGGGTGTTGATCGAAAAGATCAGAACATCGCTGGGCTCAAAATTAATCAAATTAAACAACTAGGGTGGAACAGTGATGCAATGATCAGCACGGTCACCTCAGTCAGTAGCAGAATCACCTTTCAGCAAATTCGTCCCTTTCAGTGCAGAGTTTACGTTCCCCTTGTGCAAATGTGGGTTTTCTCCAGGTACTCTGGTTTCCTCCCACAGACCAAAACACATGTTAGGTTGTAACTCTAAGTTGTCCCTACGAGTGAGTGAGAGGGTGAATGGTTGTTAGTCTCCGTGTCTCTGTGATGGATTGGAAACTTGTCCATGGTGCACACCTCCTCTCACACAGTGACTGCTGGAGATGGACGCCAGCTCCTCAAACTTGATCAAAGATCTGACCTAAGGTGCTATGGGGGGGATCCTTAAGATGGACCTGGATGTCTATTGACCCAAAACATGTGGCTTCTGAATGCAGTGTCCAACTAAGGCATGGTGGCCCACAGCAATATTAAGGTTCCCAGTTTAGAAATCTAGATGTCTTTAGATTCAAGCCTTGCTTTTAAGTTGTGACGTGGTATTACGAGGAATCCACAAACTTCTTTAATGTATTAAACTTTATTTCACCAGGAAAATCCCACTGAGATGACAGATCTCTTTTTCTAAAGGAGGCCTGGGCCTGAAAACAGCCTAAACATGCACACTTTTAAACTGTGGTAGGAAAAACTGAAGCACCCAGAGGAAACCCTGCAAACATGAGAAAAACGTAAACACACAGAAAGACCCAAGGCCCAACCCAGGGCTTGAACCCACAACCTTCTTGCTGTGAGGCAACTGTGCAAAGCAAACCATTGTGGTGCCCAAATAAAACCTGGAGGGAGATTGCAAGGAAGCCCAGCTTCTAGTTTACAGTAAAGTTAGAAGACGTCTGTATCAGGTCACTGATGTGTCAGATGACTAATCATGCCTGAGTTTACCTCGAACAGAGAGGTGTCCAGTGCTGTTGGCTTTACCCAGGTAGTTCTCAGCAAAGCAGGTGTATTTTCCTTCATCTGCCCTGCTGATGTTGTGGATCCACAATGTTCCATCTGGAGTTACTGAGATTCTGAAGACAAAGCGCAGTTCAGAAACACCAGTGGCTCATGTATCGTAAATTTAACAACTGAATGAGACTAAATCTAATTCTTAAAACTCATGAATCATATCTATCTGTCTCTGACATTACTCTTTCTCCTGTTGTTTCAGTCAGCCTGAACTGTACATCCCATGGCGGTGACATTGTGCTGGTCCATTCATACTTCACCAAACTCTGCAGTAATTCATACACAGCGGTTGGTGTTTCATACAAGTAGGGGTCAATGCATTACAGCGTGACCCTTTTCCACCTTTATACACATGACATAGGCACCCAGATCAAGCTGTTTTATTCCATAGTCAACATAACTGTAACGTTCCTTTCGATGGAACACATTTTTATCATAAACAAACAGTTGTTAAAAACAGAAAGTGCTTACTTTCTGTGACAACAATTCCCTGCCCTGTGTGCATCATAATTCAGGTGCAGTATGTGAACTACCTGTCCCAGGTGCAGACTCTAGACAGAGCAGGCATGAAATACAGAATGACACAACCTAGTCTGCTTGGGTTTTCATGCAAACATAATAAGTATTCAAATTCTTTTAAAAAAGCTTAAAGTTTGATTTGAATTAGGACTGAAACGATTCCTCGAATCATTCGAGGACCTCGATTACTAAAAATCCTGGAGGCAAATTTATCTTCCTTGAATCTTCGTTAAACCGTTCAGAGCACTGTGGTCCAGCTGGAAGGTTTTTGTTTTACACAACGCTAGCACTTCCGCTGACGCGTATGTGCTACGTTTGTAGCTATGGAGGGAACGGAGACTGCGTAGAAGAAGAGCCCTGAAAACAACAAAACTGTCAAAAGTTTGGGAACATTTTAGTCTAAACAGAAAAGACATCACAGCTCGATGCTTCCAGTGCAAACAGAACTGGAGTAACCACAACAGCACGTCGTCCATGCTGCAGCGTCTGAAGAGAAACACCTGCTGTTTGTGTCACCCTGGTCCGCAGCTCTAACAGGTATCATGCTCTCTTTGCAGAATACATGAAACTAAATGTGTGATCATCTGTCATGTTATAGATGTAAACTGAGGCTTATTGTTGCTAACGTTACATCTACTGACTAATCACAGAGGCTTCCTGGCAGAGTCTGTACGTTGTGAGGAACAAGAACTCTGCAGGACTTGATGCAAGTTTGTTAAAGATAAAAGCAGCAACAGACTGACACATTTATCTATTGTTGTACTTCCATCCTGACTTAATGAGATATTTAGGGTGAATATTTCAAGTGGAAATGATTTACACGAGTTGGTAGGGTTTTTTTTCTTTCTGCTGTTTATGACTGAAAACTGAGATTAATCTGCATTTATTACTTCTGTCATATTTGTTTATAGCTCAGCAATCAAGACTAAATAATAATCCAGTCTGCAGAACTCAATGTACAAACTCAAACTGTACATTATCCATCTTACTCAGTTTCTAACAAAATATTCCATTCAGTTTTCCAATCCATAAAAATTATTTTACAGCATTTAGATTTTTATGTGATGTTTAAAAATAATTCAGTTTAAGCAATAAAATATTTTAAAAAGAGGAATTAAATGGGTTGTTCTTTTAATGTTTTTTCATGTATTTGTATCACTCATAAAATGAGTACGGTAGTTACTGCAGAACCTGACACATTCTGTTTTCAATTACTTGATTAATCGTCAGAATAATCAACAGATTACTCGATTACTAAAATATTTGTTTACAACAGCCAGAACTTTTTTCTTTCTTTTGCGTCTCTGGTGTGCAGAGAAAACAGTGAAACTTTCTGCACAAAATCAACAGTTGGTTAGTCGACCAATGCCTTGTTCTCTGCAGTAAAAGGTGAATGCTTCAGTTAATTTTCAGCATCATTTTCCTTTTAGCTAATAATCTGCCATGTGGCATGACATCTGAACTTTATTTTTGGCAACAAAAAAAAAATGCTTTCTGCATGTGGAAAGGTTTTGTGAAGTTGGTGTAAAAGCAGTACCTGTTAGAAGTGTTAGCACCACCACAGCGAGGTAACACGTGTTTTTAAAGCAGCTCCATCTGGAGCCTAATAAAAGTGTTACAGTGATGCAGAGTTGGTGCTCACATGTGGCTGGATGAACACAATGAACCTTTCCCAACAGTGTCAGAGCAGGAAACACGTCTGCATCATCGGAACAGCACAGTAATACAAGTATTGGAGTAAGACTGATTATTGGCTTGATCTTTTTGAAATGACTGATCAGTAAGTGGGACAAAGAAAAGTTAATCGGGATATCTCTACTTTAAACAGTACTGTAATATCTACAGCAGGTTCACATAGTCCACAGCCAGAGTCTAATGGGCCCAGGAGTCTGGATCTGTTGGTAATGACTGTTCAGAAATTAATTTACTGTTTATGGCTATGAAATGTCGCCTGGGAGTCAACGTATAGAGGAAGAGATATAAAAGGTGGTAACGGTGCTACCTGCTACTGTTGGTGAGCAGCTCCGTCCCACGGCTCCAGAATAAGATGGGTTTTGGTGCTGCTCGGGGCCGACACTCAATCATTACCTGACCGCCCCTGGCTGCTGGGATCAGTTTCCTGACTAGATTCAACCTGAAGTCTGGAGCCTGGACTAGAAGGAAAACAAAGACTGATATAATTTCCATATAACAATTTAAAATTAATTAGAACAATAAAAGCAATCAGAACAATTTAGACCAGAGCTGGATTAAAGGGGGTGTTGGACTCCTCTTACCTTGGACTCTTAGCTCTGCAGAGGAATAGATGGTGCCATGCTTGTTTTCAGCTACACACTGGTACATCCCAGAATCATCCAGGGCCAAGTTACTGATTTTAAAATGAGCTCCATTCACCACCACTCGGTCCTGAAGACCAGCAAGGAGAAGGTCCATGAGCCAAATAAAGAAACAAGGAGAAGTCGTATTCTTTCTGGCTAAGCAACAGATCTCCACAGCGATCAGAAACCATGTTGAAAGGCTTATAAAACCAGTAACACATCGAACTTCTCAAACTTCTAAACATTTTTGATGTAGCAGGATCTGCAACTGTGGAAAAAAAAACAAGATTTTATTTTACTTTCCTCTCAGCAGGTGGTGTGAGAGTTGTTGCACCAACCCTGACGGACATTGTCGCTGAGGGGTTTGAATAGTGAATGTTTGAAGTTTTCCAGATGAGTGTTTTTCTGGACTGGAATTGAACAGAGAATGAAAGTAAACCTTAATGTTGGTGCAAGATGTTCAAGTAGGTAAAATTTACACTGTAGAGAAGAACAGATGTCCATCCATCCATTATCTTTACCCGCTTCTTCCATTTTGGGTCACGGGGGTCGCTGGTGCCCATGTCCAGCAATCACTGTGCGAGGGGCGGGGACACTCTGGACAGGTCGCAAGTCCATCACAGGGACACATAGAGACAAACGAGACAAACAACCATTCACTCTCTCTCTCACAACTAGGGACAATTTAGAGTTACCAATCAGCCTAACATGCATGTTTTTGGTCTGTGGGAGGAAACCGGAGTACCCGCAGAAAACCCACGCATGCACGGAGAGAACATGCAAACTCCACCCAGAAGGCCCCTGGACCGGGATTTGAACCAGGGACCTGTTCGCTGAGAGGCAGCAGCTCTACCAGTTGCGCCACCGTGCTGCCCAAGAACAGATGTTGTTAGTTTATTTTTCTTGTCTGAGGCAACACAGAATGATGGATCCTGGGGAGTGAAGGGAACAATGGTATCCACCAGAGGCAGTGGAGGAGCCAAGGTGTGGCCGATGGTGGCCTTGACCACCATAGATTACGGGCCAGGCCATGATAATGTGCTGGATGGGCAGGCTGGGTTGGTGTCGGGCTTTTGATTGGGTCTGCGGATCAGCCGTGATCTAAGTATATAACATGGCCTGCCATACAATCACCAGCAGCACACGGCCATTTCACTGCGAGCTGACCGTCCTCGAAAGAGATAAAAAGTTCAGTTAAGCTTCAGATGGGACTGCACTGCCAGGAAGCGATCCATCGCCCAAATGGACGTTCATTCAGTTTGGTTTGGACCTGTAATTACTGTTAATTCATCGGGTCGGGTGGGGTTCTGAAATGATGACTGCGGGCTGGGGCTGGGTCAGATTTTTTGGGCCCGAATGCAACTCTACCCAGAACTAACTCTAGCTCAGGGGTCTCCCTTGTATTACCTGTGTGCTGAGTGGTTGTCCGTTGCGCAGCCAGCGAATGGAGGGTCGTGGTTTTCCAGCAGCCAAACAGGTCCAGTGAAGTTCCGAGCTGATCTCCACCTCTGAGTCACTCATCACTTGCAGCCACTCAGGCTGAGCTGCAGCGGCAGGGTGAGGAGACGAGATTAGGACCATAATGAAAGAACTGAACTGATACTAACAAACATCTTAGACATTTCTGTCACCTTGCACGCTCACACGTCCCTGGTAAGAGTCACTACCCTCAGAGTTGGAGGCTTCACACTCATAAAGACCCTCATCATCAAAGGAGAGTTCAGGGAGGACAAGGGTGGGACTTTGTGTTGTTGAGCCGGCTTTGGATGGCATCAAACCTTCGATCTTACGCCATCGAATTTTTGGAACTGGGCTGTAGAAAAACAGAAAAATAAAAAATAACAACTCTGAGATGACACAATGAAGTATGAATATTTTAATGTTTGCCTATTTGACAGTAAAAGACCGGTGTGAACCACGTAATACTACTAAACAGGCTAAGGGATATAGGACTCTGAAAAGTGTTGAGCCTGATTTAATAGTCATTGCTCTGATCGTCTACAGTTAGTGAGGGTGGAGGGTCTTCTCTCTGATCCCCTGCACCTATCTAACAGTGTCCCACAAGGAAGCACTTAGGGCCCTATATATTTTGTTCAATATTTATATATATATAACATCCCCCTTCCAGCAGGTGATTCTCAGGTCTATTTATATGTTGATGGTACCATCGTTTATACGTAAGTCCTTTTCTGACAACTGTTCTGTGTTCATTGCAGCCTAGCTTGATTAGGATCCAACACACATTCACTACTCTACATTTGGTTTTGAACACAGATGAAACAAAATGTATGGTTTGAAACAGAAACCTGCCTAGTAACCTAGTCAAGTTACCCTTTAAGATTTCTTCCTGAAATGGTTCCTCAAAAGCTATAAATATTTCGGCATATGGCTTAATAAAAAAAAACTCTCAAAGGAAAGCCACATAATTGTCCTGAAGTCAAAGGTAAAATTCTGCATTGGCTTTCTTTTTTGCAATAAATCTTCTTTCACACATTCTGCAAAACGTCTCCTGGCTAAAATGACAGTGCTTCCAATCCTGGATTATGGTCATGTGGTTTAAAGATCTACCTCAAAACTCTCCCTCACAAACTGGATGTTATCTATCATCTAATTTGTAAATGGAGCTTCATGTAACACACTGCAATCTGTACTCCCTGATAAAATGTCCGTCGCTTCATTCTCACAAATTCACTGGTTCCTGTTGGTTTACAAAACACTCATTGGAAAACCTCCATTTTACCTACAGCCACTTCTTACTGTCCAGAAACCAAATCAAAGTTTGTGTTCTAGTAAGCTCATCAATCTCCACACCTAAAGCATGTACCTCCTTTGGCGGCTCCTTCTTCCATTTCTCTGCTGCAGATGACTGGAACCATCTGCAGCAGAGCCTAAAGCTCGACTCATTCATTTCACTCTCTTTTAAAAACTCAATCCACTCACAAGATCACTGTACTTGCTTTCAGTTTTACTTTGTCTATTACTGTTTTTTATTATTCCCATGCTCTTTCTTTAATTTTTGTATAGTATATTTCAAAAATGTTGATTCATACTGTTTGTTTGGTGTTTTTATGCGTCTATTGTTGCTGTTTTATGTCTACTTGTGTTGCTGCCTCTTGACCAGGTCATCATTGTAAATGAGAACTGGATCTCCATTGATATATAGTAAAGGTTATTATTATTTTATTATTATTATTATATAGAAACCAATCATGTAAAGTTGGACATACTTTAAGCGTTTGGAAGAGAGAACGACTCAGTTATGGCTTGAAGTCAAAATATGATTAAACATATCAATGCACGGTGGTGGGTACACCACCTTTCATGCAAGAGTTGTAAACAAACTCCTCCTGTCTTGAGAAGGGAAGGGTTAAACCTTGTTAATGTCGATGTGCAATTTCTGTGACATTACGACATCTGTCAGCCCTCGTAGTTTGTGTTACGACTGACTTTCAGCTACTAACCCACCAAATTAAGCCCATTATCTGTAAAACTGACTGAGTTAAAGATATTTTTGTGACTTTCTACGTCAGTTAGCTGTGGTAGCCAGCCACAAATGTAGATTGTAAATGTACATCCATTAATTTCTGAGAGGTTCACTAAAATCTGTCCAGGGGTCCACGAGACCCTTTGTTAGCTGTCAACACACACACAGACAAATAATATTCTGTCCAAAATCAAACGGTGGGAGTTTAAGAGCAGAAACTTACTTTCCGTAAGCAAAGCATTCCAACATGGCAGTGTGTCCAGCCAAGGTGTAGGTCTCCGAAGGGAAATGCACTTTGATGCTCGGAGCAGATTTTCTGGGGCTGGCTGAAATAAAATTAAAGATTAAATGTTCATTCTTGAAATGACTTTACATAGGCTGACATTTGTTGTTGTGATTTTTTTATTTTTCATGAAACAAACACTAACAAACCCAGTTTGTTTTAAAAATGCATTTCCAAGAAAGTTTGGTCTGTTTTAAAGCAAAGGAAATTCCAGAAGTTGACATTCTCACTCTCGTTTTTTGCTGACTAGAGAGCCGAGGGGTGGCATCAAAGGTAATTTTTTTAAACTGTTGGTTCTGTGGCCTCTGGGCTGCATGCCTCCTCCTCAGCACATGGTACTCCCGGTACCAGTGAATCGGCTCTACCCTCATACATAGTACGAAGGGAAAAACTACCCCGACTAAAGAAGTCTAGTACCCAGTTGTAAATGGAGGGGCTTAGTCCTAGTGTGAGTAGTTTATCTATCAGGGTTTGGGGGATCATGGTGTTGAAGGCAGATGTGAAGTCCACAAAGAGCATACGGACATAGGAGTTCTTCTGCTCCAGGTAGGTGAGAGCAGTGTGGACCACAGAGGAGATGGCATCCTCTGTTGATCGGTTCTCCGGGTATGCATACTGATGAGGGTCCTCGTTGATGTTGATGGTTGTTTTGATGTGAGTCATGACCAGTTTTTCTAAGCATTTAGCGACTATTGGGGTGAGGGCCACTGGCTGATAAGTCATTCAGACCAGTCACTGTAGAGCTCTTTGGGACTGGGATGATGGTGGCAGTGGGAACTGCTGCCAAGGTGTGAGAGTGCTGTTTATTTAATATATCATCCAAATGGGTCATTTTATTTATTTTTATACAAACGTACTGTTTACTTGGCATATTTTCAAAATAAATGCTTTGTAAGTCTTCATTTTGGCCTTTTTTGTACCAAAAATTAACTGAACCGAGCCCTCCCTCCTTGAAACTGAACCGAACCGAAATGTGAATTTAACATATTGTTATACGACTAGTAAGTAGGTAGCGTAGTCAGATTTAGTCTGCTCAGTGCTTCCCCTAGATTACTTGCAGGCGCTCTTCTCTTCCGTGATTTTTGTTGGGTGGGGGGGGGGGGGGGAGATTTGTCTGTATCGCATGCTGTTTGTACAAACAGTTTGGGGGGGTCTCAGCGTGAGAGAAGCAGACCACTACCTCCAGTTTTTTAGCTAGAATGCCTGTATTGTTGTATTGTGAGCCGCTAGCTTAGCGCTATGTCACACCAACAGTTTTCTATGTGTGTGTGTGTGTGGGGGGGGGGGGGGGGTTGTTGGGGGTTGGTAGGCAGGGCACTCGGCTCTGGCACACTACAGCCGTATTGGCTTAAAAAATTTGTGATTTTTAGATTTTTTTTTCTTTTTTGCCTAATGAAATGCCTGAAGGAAAAAAGTTCATACATTTTTAATCACTTTTCATCATCAAATCACTTGAGATTTTTAGCAGAAAGCTCCAAAGTTTCACTACTTTCCTGCACGCTAGCAAAACGTTGTTCAATAGCAGCTGAGAAATCCTGAAATCCAAGTCTGCTTTGAGCTTTCCTCTTTCAATTGACGTGAATAAATCTTCATTAGAATACCATATAAAAAGGCTTCAGATCAATTTTCCAAAGTTACACTTGACTTGCAAGACAAACTAAATCACATCTGAAGACATTACTGATGATGTCAGGATGATCTAGGGATCCTAAATTATCTTTAAAAGCCAGGAATCTGAAAATGTTCTTTGTTTACATTGGCTGAGTATGACTTCCCTGATCCCTGATTTGATGTGATGGGTCACATTTTATTTGTCCGCTTTTTCCAACTTGACAAGTAAAAAATGTTTACCATGGCTGGGTACTGATTCCAGTTAGCAGGTAGAGCCGTGAGATACAACCACATCCTACACACCAGCACCATTACTTGTACAACTACTTGAAATATTTGTATTGACAGACAGAGGTGGGATGTCTTGTTCTCCTTGTTTGGGTTTTATTAAACACAGACATCAGTGGACATACATGCATGCGGTCAACATACCGTCAGGCAGTACAGTGAGTGGGTTGGCCTTGCTGAAGGTGCTTTTGGTGCTGATGTCCAGGTTGATGGTGGTGAAACAGAAGTAGTTCCCAGTATCATTCAGCTCTGCTTTGGCCAAGTACAGGTTACCTGTGACCTGTGACACGAACAAACGCCCATCGTCCTTCTTGATGAAGTTTGGAAACTCGTTGATTAACCAGCGATAGAACAGAGCTGGTGAAGATAGAAATCACAGTATGAGCGCAGTTATCAGTGCAGTCTGCTGGGAAAAAAAGACGATTCTGTTATTTTAATGCTACAACCTGCCATTTTTTACAACAGCTCTGAATGAAAGAAACTGAACAAAACAATGGTTCATGTTCAACTATTAACTATGATCATTTAGTTATTCTCATGTGAACAGAGGCACAGTACAGTGGTGTTTAAATAAAGCCCTCAGTTTTTCTAACATTCCTGGATCACATAAATAAAGAAATTCAGGTGAGTTTGAATTGTCTATCATTCGTTAGTCAGCTATTTTGCCATATTTCATTTGGTGCTATTTGAAAATTTAACTGTAAATTTTCCTTTGCCTAGAAACGTGGTTTAATCAAAGTCCCATATAAAAGTTACACGCTACATCTAGGGCTGAGTGCCATCCTTTTATGGTACCGACCGAACTGCTTTGGTCGGTATATGCATCAAAATATGCCTCGTCTTTTGGTGTCAAGTTTCTGTGATAGGCTGTAACATTACATGTGGTTTCAACCACGTGTAACGTTACAGTCAATGCCAGTGCAGCGATAGATGAAACTTTTGTCCTTGGTTACCCATGACCCAGGAGAAATTTGATAGTCGGCCTGTCTCCGAGGCCGGCAGGGAGTCAGATTCAGATAAGCTTTGATTGTTGATTTTCTTCAGGCAGACAGGTTTTATTTTTCAGCCTTGAGCTCATCTGGACATTCTGGTTCCAAAAAGGCCTAATTGTGGCAATTCATTCCACTGATCCATGTTATGAGTCTCCTTCAAGGTTGATCCCACCGCACTGACGAGTCCCAGAAGCCGCAGGTGGCCTGCAATTCTCATAAATCGCCTTTACCTTACGGTTTAGCTCATAAATCAGCTGATTATGAGAACTCACGGCACGGATCAAACCTTCACACTGACTCGGAAGCTTTGTAAAGGCCGAAACTGCTGCCGATGTCTTCTTCAATAGTTGATAAAACAGAGCCCCGCCGATGCCAAAAAGCAAAGTCCCTGCTATCATAAATCCAAATATGTAAACGTCTTCAGCGTCCTCCTTAGACAGAACTGAGAGGCACATCAGCTGCCACTCTCCCTACGGGACCAAGACGTACCCCGCAACGTGCGTCTCAGCAGGACATGCACGCTCTCCGGGACCTTGTTGTTGTGTTGAAAAAAATCTTGTCGATAGCGTTGAATGTCCAGGATACCAGATCCATAATCTTAATTTACATTCGGGAGATGTGAACCAGGCACTTCAGACACGCAGAGAGCGAAGCAGGGGAAGGAAAAAATGGGAGAGTAAAGTCAAGCTGCCACCTCAAACGAGAGCGAGAGAGAAAAACAAATTCTAAAGAGACTACTTAGTGCTTTATCACATTCATACATCAATGAGACACACACTGGAAGAAACAAGGGGTTCAGTGTCTTGCATGTAACTGGTGGATTCAAATCCCCAACTCTTGCATTAGAGGACGACTGCTCTAACCACTCAGTCACAGCCGCCCCTAATAAAAGATATATGTGTATATATAATGTCTATGGGAAAAACCAGGAAAAACACATACTGTTTGTGGTTACGTCCACAGAAGGGGTTCACGTGGTTCTATGGCAAGCCATAATAACTATTAATAGCCACAAATAGCCACTTGTGGCTATTAATGCATATAATGGCTTGCCACAATATCTGTGTTGTGAATTAGTTGCATGTGTCAGCAACACGACTAATTTGATGAAGTGCCTGACCATGCACGGAATCAATTTACGAGCGTAAAGTTGCTCCGTGTTTGACTGCAAGGAGAGAGGACCACAGCCATCCTCCTCTCAATATTTAAGTCAGCCTGTGGGTGTTAGAGCCTGAACAGCCTGATCCAAAATCTCCACGACCGGACTTGGCTTTGCACCGAGGACGGAGCAGTGTCTGCGATTTCAACTGATAAGTTTACGTTTGTTAACGTTACTACAACTTAATACGTGCATTGCGATGAGTTAAACTACTTTGTAGGCTTATGTAATGCTAACTTTAAGATATTAGTGTATAGCTTTATTTTGTGGCTATATATGTAGCTAGCTAAATCAAAAGCTATCTAAAGATTGACAGCAACAGATAAAGCTTAGCTTGTAAAAATGTGCTCATACATCGGGTCAGCTGATTAAACAGTTCAGCTAATGTTCAATGTTTATGTTATCATCACAGGAGTCTCTGACCTTGATGTGAAAAGGACAAAAAGAAAAAGGATAAAAGAAAAGTGAGATGAATGCCATAGGACAGTCACAAACTTTGTTGTTAAAAGTTTGCTGCCTTTTTCTACAGTGGAGGCTGCATCGTAGAGGTAAGGAAGCTGTAAAGGATATTCTGATGCATGCTCAATAATCCAGGTAGAAAAATCTAAAAAAGTTAAA